ATACTAAGCTAAATGTCTCCTGAGATGTTCTAAACAGTGTTCAGAAACTCCTACTTGTGTTGCACAAGAAAGCTGACACACCCCAAATTTATAGACTTTCTGGAGATCTGAGGGAGCCCAGCTACACACCGACACAGAGTTAAATCCCAGCCCACCTGCAAATTTCACTGTGGACTTCAATGGCATCCATTGAGTCCTCAGCCACTGAGCCACACATTATGGATAATTAACCTAGAAACTGTCTGCAGCTGAGGTAGTCACTGCCATAGCTCTAGAATGATTTTTTAGACAAACAAACAAAAAAACAAAAACAATGCCAAGGCTCCATATCTCCTGCCAGAGCAGCAGGGCTGGCCTGACTGAGCAGGGTGGGCAGGGGGGGACTGGAGCTGGGCTGTGGACAGGGAGCCCTGCTGGGGAGCAGCAAAAGACAAGAGAGCGTGCTCTGAGGGTGCAGGTCAAAGGGGACAGGTCAGCACCGTGACACCCAGGCACCATCCCGAGACTCCCCTCGGGATGGTTTCCTTGCTCCTGCCCAAGGAGGCGACTGGAGCTTCCCACTCTGCCCAGCGCGGTGGGAATGGGCAGGCAGTGGTGAGGGTGAGGAGTGCACTTCTCTCAGCTGGCTCTGGCAGCTCTGCTTCAGAGCCCTGAGCTCCCGCGGGCTCATCCTGTGGCATCCATGTGGGCTTGGTGCCCGGGCTGTGACCCAGCAGCTCCTGCCTGGCCCGGCAGCGCCGTGCCCCAGCTCCCAGGGCTGGAGTCGCTGCTGTGCTTGCACAGTGTGCTGCAGAGTCCCCAACACAGGAACCTGCCCAGATGGGTGTTCGTGCTCCTGCTCTTCCAGCCCCACCAGCTGTTACACTTTAGGCCACTTGCAGGCAGGTTTATTTTGACACCTACACTTTTCTTTAGTCAGTGGATTAAGAAGCCCAAGTGAAAAACCTGCTTAACTGGAGTGTTTTACAATATTTGCTGTACTAAAGGACTATCATTAGGTGATAATTCAGCCTCCCTCTCCTTTCTGTAATGGCTATTGAAGGAGCCAAGGGCAACATCCTAACCTCAGTGGTTTACCCAAGTGCTTAATTCAGGCTAAATTGGTCCTGACCTGATTTGATAGAGTAGCAAGATTTATTTTTTTAATGTGAAGACTACATATGTACCATAATACATTAATTGTATTGAGGTTTTTTTAAGACAAGGATGACAGTTTTAATTAAAACTAATGATCTGAAATACATTATCAACAGAGCAAAAGGATGGCAATCAGTGTTACAGCCATCACCTGTGGAGAAGGCAACATTCACCTCCAGTCTGAAGCCTATTTAAGCATCTTCAGGCCTCCCAGAGAAGACATGGGAGAATGGATGGCACAGGCCTCTAGTCTGCAGCTTTTAAAAGCTAAACTAACAAATATCTTAGCCTTCCAAACATAGGTGTGAAAGAGCAAAATCAACCCAAGCACTGGGGTGCCTTTGTGAAGACTGACCTATTTGAATCACACAGGTCAGCCTACAGCTTTTGACTGATAGCTCTTTTAACCTCTAATAAAGGAAAGAGCCCTGAAAAGATCTGGTTTACAAATCTGATTTACAGTTTAGAATCTAAGCTGGTGAGATGTAGCAGCCAGGATCATCTTACATTATTGTAAAGTTATATAGAGAGCTAGAGCTGTTGGCCAGGCTGCAAAAAAATCAGTAATGTAGCAAGTAACACAGAAAACAGGAGATCTCCCCATTGAGAATATGGATTTCATGCTGTCAGTATGCAGAACTGGATTTAGTTCAAAAACTGCTGCAGTCATATTGGCTTTGCTTCCAAACATTACAACTTTGGAAGTTTCTCTCCAACAGTCTAGCAGATGTCAGGTCTAGCACCTTCAGATGAATTAAATCTCCCATGATGGGCTCCAGGAGTGCAAATACCACTCATATGGTCAGCTGGGTACACCTGAGCCATCTGAGATGAGCTCCAGAGGAGACCCATGCAAGGTGGACCTTTCCCACTGGCGAATTCCTAATGTTTCCCAGCAGGCAGAAACTTCCCGTGCTGGTTTTCTTTGCAAGCACCGACTACTGAAACCAAGGCTTAAACAAATCTGGGAAGCTCTGAGCATGGATTCTCCTGCCCTCTTTGACCCTTCAGATTTCCAATGCTTCTGGAAATCAGATCCACACCCAGCTTGTGCCAAAAAGCCCACAAGAGTAACAAAGAAGGAGAGAAGGCACCAGCACAAAGACCATGGGAGCCAGCAGGGGCTGAGCCCTTCCCTTGCAACCAAATTCCATCACTGCCAGTGTAACTGTTTTCCTCCCTCCTAAAAACTCACCTGGCAGTCAGTGCATCAGTAGTGGCTACAGGTGCACACATCAACCCAGGAAAAACATAAATCCCTCCTTTTTCGGGTCCCTCTCCCTTATTTAGGTTACCAAGCATAATGAGTTATCTGGTATCAGCTTGCACCAAGGACATGCAGAGTCAACAGCAAACCCAAGATAAGACACATTAGCTCAGGCCTTGGTGATGGAGGGTCAAACTAATCCATTTAACCTTGAATTTGCAGCAGGTAAAGAGCACTCGTGCAAGTAATTGTTTCACCTCACCTTCCACAGGTTAAGCTGTCTACACATCTGCTTAGCCTAAGCTGCTCGTTTCCATTTCTGGGTGCATGGTGCTGGCACAACAGTGCTGAGGCTCTTCTGAATTCTAATTCAGCATTGTAGCACAAGAAGGAGGTCAAAACAAGGACTAAAAAGTCAGCCAGGCCCATAAGGACAGCAGTCTCCAGCAATGTTCCTTGGGGATAAAGTATGACAGAACTTTTTCCAGCAATTCATTTTTCAGTGCCATATGTAATCAGATTATGAACTTAAGTCATAAGCATCCTCCAGTGAAATGACATCTACATTAGTGCCTTCCTTCTGACACATTGAAAATTGAACATAAGCTGGCAGGAATTCAGATAAACAGCTCCACAGAAGATACTCCCAGATTTGCAGCTGATGATCTCCAGATCTGCTGTATAAGCAAGAAGTCTCCACCTGTTCATGCATAAACAAGATTAAAAAACCCCAAACAGATGGTGACTTAATCCCCAAGTCCATCACCACTGACGTTAGACAAAATGAAGAACATGCCTCACTAAAACCTTTGCTATGCTGGAAAAACCTTCAAAACTGTCTGTAAGGACAAAGTATTGCCATTGCAAAGCACTGCACTAATAGGGTGATTTCATCCTATAAAGGGAGACATCTCACTTTAAATACTGACTATAGGCACCTTCAAAACTGTCTGTAAGGACAAAGTATTGCCATTGCAAAGCACTGCACTAAGGGGTGATTTCATCCTATAAAGGGAGATATCTCACTTTAAATACTGACTATAGGCATAGAGTACTCAACAGGAACAAGCAGCAACTGAACATGCAGAAGTGGAAAACTCCTGCCTCAAACAACCCAACCTGAGGAGCAGAGCTGTCCATCTCCCACCACCTGAGGATCACTTGAAGTGGCCACCCCCTTGTTCACACTAGCAACTAGTATTAAAATATAGAAAAGCAGCCAGAACTGCCGCTGCTGTTCCAGCAGGTTTAAAAGCATGGCTTATGCTAAGGATGTTTATTAAAAGGGAAGCAGAAGCTTGGTCCCTGTTGTCCTGGCTCCCCTTCCCCCAGCTCCTGCTCAAAGGCACAGTGTCTCTACAGCTAACAGAAGTCCTACACCAGCCAAAGGAGTCCCTTCACATCTGGGACTGGGGAGGAGGGCCAGACACCCTCTCAAGTTCCACAGAGGCAACAAAAAGGAATAATTGCTCCTGTATGGTTACAGCATAGCAGCAGTGAATTTTACACTGTTAGTAATGGGATTCCTGTGATGCCTCTGTGAAGGTCCCAGAGCAGGGAGAAGGACATCACTGTCTCAAACCTGGATCATAACTATTTTCTTCACAGATCTGAAAGTTAACCTGCTGCAACCATGGAGCTTTACCCTCCTAAGTAATTTTACTCCCTTCCTAGTCTATGGGACAATTTACCAACAGAATCTGCAGTAAGAAATGCTGAAAGGAAAGTTTCCTCTTCAGGAGCACATACTGCACCACACACTGCTCCACTTTACATTGCCCTTCTGCCTGAAAGAAGGAAAGAACCCACACAACAACCTTAAGACTCAGACTGATAAGAATGTACCCAGTTCAGAACTATTTTTTCTTACTAATGAATAAAATTGGGGATGGGGGTGGGGGGGAGGGAAGAAATCATATGGTGTTTATTAAAACCAAATGTTCTGGTCAATTTTTAGGAAATCTAAAATCCAGGGAGATGGATCCACACCATCCTTATAAGGAAATAGACAGTAGGTTTCCTCCAAGCTGCAGAAGGCAGGTCCAGATCTGTCCTTTAAGGTTCCCTAAGGAGGTAGCTGTGTCACAGGTACACACACTCCAGACACACTCAAAGATAACACATCAAAGGGGAACAAGAACTGGACCATTCAAGCAACTGCTCACTAGACAGCTTTGGTCAAAACGAGGCAGGAGTTCAAAGCAGCCCAGCCCCAGCCCACTTGGTCTGAACAGAGAGGAGAGCACAGCTCAGACAGCAGAGCCAGCTGCAACGCCTGCACAGCCGCAGGAGAGCCCACGTGATGACATTCCCAGTGCCTAATGCATATGGAAAGAATCAGGTTCCTTGTAAAAGCACAGGTTCACCTTCCCTCCTTCAGCACCACACTGATGGCCAGGAAGTCTTTTTAAGGTGGTTGACTGTTCCAGACCCAAGGGCCTGGTGTCAGAAACACCCAGGCATTGTCTCAGTGGTACAGAACCTCCACACCTTTAAACTGATGGGCCTAAATGTCTGACCTTCCAAAGAGCCAGTGCTTCGTGTCAAATGGTCTGAGAGTTTAAAACCAGCTTTTACACAGGGTTTAAAATAGATGTTATTGCTCAAATGTATAGTAAGTCAGTGTTATTTCATCTGTATTAACACAAATCTGAAGTAACAGTTTGACTCAATTTATTATTTTCCTGACTGTATTAATTTTACAAAGTTCTTATTTAAGCAACCACATCCCTCTAGCATAACAAATTTTGCCTAACAGGGCAAAAACATACCATTATCAAGATATGTTAAAGCATGTTGTTTTCAATAAGAGTTTAATTTGTACTTATATTTCAGAGTTTGCACGTTCATAGGAAGCTTACAGACATCTGGATTCCAGTTCAGGATTTATTTGCATACAAAAATATATTATAATGGAGAAAAGCATTAAAGTTTTCAACTATATAAAATTACAAATATATTTGCATAAAAGCAACTTTAAATTAAAATTCAAGCTATATTTTAAAGCAAAATACAGCTCTAACATTTAAGTTATTCCATCTGCTGCAAAGTAAAAAAAAAAAACAAACCAAAACCACAACCACCCAAAAAAACCCAAACCCAATGTTGCCAGTTAAATACTTGTAGGAGTTCACAAAGGTTATGTTCAGAGGGATCTTGAGCAAAGTTATCAGACAAGGGCAGCAGTTCCCACTGATTGACTGATTGGTGTCACTTATCCTTCAGAGGACATTCACATGCAAGCACAATGCTGAAAATTCATTTCACATACCTGAAAATACAGAACAAGAAAGATCACTAAGCTCTCTATTAAATAAGACTGCATGTTGTTGACATGTCAGACACTTCCCTATGCCCAGTCTTTTTTTAAGTTAACATGAAAGCTGAAATGCTGGTGTGCTAAAAAGACAAGGCAAGTACTGTTCTAAAAAGTGCATTAGGCTTGAAAAGGTATCTGTACAAAGTTCTGTGTAACCTCGAGCCTATACATACAACTCCTCAAAAATGTGGTGATAAATGCCAGATGGAAGTTGGACTTCTTCCTCACTGTACAGTGATACTGTACAAATGAAACTCTGCTGAGATCACTGGAGATTTGTCTAGTTGGGATTTAAAAAAAATAATCACAGAAAAAAAAAAGAAAAAGAAAAAAAAAAGGCACAAAACCACTAGAGCAGGTGCTAGTTCCTGCCTTCACCTTTGATGTACTTTGCAAGGGAAAAATAAAACATACGTATTATAAGCAGTCCCTTTAGAGCTGCAACATGGCTGTGCAAGATACAGCAATGCAAATATTTGCCAGTTTGGGATACACAAGCCTTTAGAAACTTGGCTTTTTTTCAGAAAAGTGGTTAATTAAATTTCAGTGGTAAAGATGGAGTTAGCTCAAGCTTACATCCATAACAGGAAACTAAAAAAATGTATTTTAAGCATGAGAAGTGAAACCAGGATTAAGATACAAGCAAGACAGCAGGGAAGCAGGAAGCTCATAAGGGCAGCTGTCTTGAATTAAGTCCATATCTTCAAGAAGTACAGGGAAGAGAAAACACCTAATGACTACACAAAACTCTCAGTTCATAGTTTGAGAGGGCTTTGTTTATGCTTCTATTAAGGTCTAGTCCTACAGCTTGTTGGTTTGGGCTCTACAGCCTAGTTCCACATTAAAAAACCTCCAAAAGTAATGGTATGTCCACAACCATAATCAAAGACGAGGAAGAAGCAAAAGGAACAAGCAGAGTACATGGCTGGCAACAGGTGGTCAGTTTTTTGGTTGTTTTTCTGTAAAAATCATAATGAAGAATTCATTACTGTAGCTGAAAGATACAATTTCCAGATAGTGGCAGAAAAAGTGATCCAAGTTCCATTCCTGGCAAAAACAAGCACAAATAGGATTTTGACATTAAGTCAACAGATACAGATATCTGCTGTTTAATTCTTGCATAAAGCAAAGTCTAGAACAAAAAGGTTTTTTCCTCACCTAAGGATACTCCCCCAGTTTCTTAGCTTTACAATGAAGAAATAGATCACCAGTTTTTAAACTGAAATTTGAGTATTTAAGGAACTGATGTTTATTTATCCATCCACTGTCAAGGAGGGTGAACTGCAGCTGCCTCAGAGGTGGGACCAGGAGTTCATTGAGTTCAGCCTTTGACAGGATAAACTGCACACCTTGAACATTCAGGCAAAGTCTGAATTTAGTCTGTTTTACCTTCTTATCCAGATAATGATCCACAGGACTGGCAAACTAAAAGGAAGTAACATTATATAAAATATTCCTATTTTTCCCTTCCCTCTCTCCCTATACATTGGCTTTCATTGGCTCACTTGTTACAGTCTTTGTAACAAGTTCCAAGGGAGATGCAAGAAACTAATAAAAATCTACTTACTTGCTAGTGTTCTGTCAAGATCAGCAATAAAGTCCTCCAGCTCTTTTGTGTCTCCAAGCTTTGCTGCAAAGCAAGGATCAATACTGATTAGACATGACATGTTTCTCTGGCTAGAAGAAACACTAGAAACACAAAAGCCTCCACATAATTTTCAGGGGTAGCAAACGTACTGTGAATTATCATCAGCAAAATTCAGTAGAGTTGGTGCAATGTCCAAAAGCACTTAGAGAACATGGGAGACTGAGCTGAAATTCTATCTTTTATAGTTTTCTACTTGACAGAAGCAACACAAAGCAATATTTTATGTAGTCTCCTTAAAAAGAAGGGCAGTGAAGATACATATCAGCCAATCCATGTCTTGGCTACTGTGGCCATCTTTCCTGTTTCCTCTCTTCAGATGCTGCATGTATGGCCCTAATCAATCCTTATGAGCTCCCAGCCCTTCTCAAATGTCAGCCCTTTAAAATCATGCCAATATCACAGGTTTGCTGTGCTGCCAAATCTCTTCATCTTGGTCCATACAGTATAAATGTAGAACTAAACATCCACCAAATTTTCCACTCCTGACAACACCATTGGTTCCATTCAATCTAATTTAACTGCAAGCTGCTTCTTTGTCTCATGTCTGTGGTCTTTCCAAGCCAGTTCTCACTCTGTCTTCTCATCTTGTCCTTTAGTGTAATTCTTCACCAAATATTTCCTGTCAGTTTAACTGAGCTCTTTTTTTGCTATTTCACAGAAACTGTTACTCATTATTTCTCCTCAGTGTCCCACAAATTGAAAAGAAATCATTTAACTTGGTTTTTTTGTGACTGGTCACTGTGGAAAAGATATGAAAGCATGAAAGACTATTGATGTACACATGTACTCGTACAAATGTACAAGTGTTCACTTATTGATATGTCTGCTCCAGAGTTAATCCAAGTTCACCTGAATGAATCACTGTCCTGGGCAGTCAGATCAGCTGCAAGGCAGAAGCCTCTTTGCAACAGCATAGCTTCAAAGGAGGAAGGAGTTGCCAATACACGGCTTGTGTAAGCACTGTGTGAGGTCTATATGGAACTGAACAATTGTGTTAAATGGCAGCACATGGCTTCAGAGGAGACCCTCTCTCTACCCCTGCATCCAGGCTAAGCATTTTCATAGAGAAATGAGACACTTAAGCTACTCAGTTGCTTCAATAAAGAAGTAACACAAGTTAATAATTAATTCTTATCAGCCAGAAAACTACAAATTTTTTAGCTCAGTGTTTCAAAACCAAAAGTCTTACCAGGCCACCTGCAAAGTGCAGATACAGAATGTTATTGCCATTTATAATCAAGACAACAATACTTGGATCTGTAGTGTGCTCAACAGAAATCCTTAGTTTTGTTAAAAAAAAACAAAACAACAAAATCCAAAAACATCAACAACAAAAAACCACAAGGAAAAAAAATCAAAAAAGTCCATGCAAGCATGTGAATCCTGGCTCCAAGCAAGAAGCCCATATAATTGAGGATTAGGAAGAAATGCCAACAGTTAAAATTAAGATACCTTTACAAGGAGTCACTGAAGGGGATGGCAAGCTTGGAGTAGATGCAGTTGAAGAGTTGAGCTTTTCATCACTGAGACTGAAACTATTTCTGTAGAGGGAATCTGCACCTGTAAAACAGCAACAACAAAGTAAATTTGACACCTTCTGAAGTTTGCAATATAATTGAAACCCCAAATGCAGCCTTTCCCATACAGACTTCAAAGTCTGTAGAACTCAAATTTAAAGTCTTCAAAACCAGAAAAGTGAATTAATAAACCCTTTATTATGTGAAGACTGCTGCTCCCACCCCTCCTGTTAGAGAGAAAGCAGGCCTAGGCTCAATCCTCACCCCCAATAAGGGAAGCTTTCCCTGAAGTCAGCACCATTTAGAACTCAAATTTAAAGTCTTCAAAACCAGAAAAGTGAATTAATAAACCCTTTATTATGTGAAGACTGCTGCTCCCACCCCCATTGTTAAAAAGAAAGCAGGCTCAATCCTCACCCCCAATAAGGAAAGCTTTCCCTGAAGTCAGCACCATTTGAAAAATTAGACAGAAATTACAATTACCCCACATCAGCAAAATTGGATGTGGTAGGCTTTCCTCAGATCACAATATTCTGGGAAATTCTGTTACCTAAATTTTTCAAAACTCATCAAAAAAACCTAAATAGAGAGCTCCAGGACAAGGACAACCCCCCAGAATAAAGAATATATTTTGTGTTGTTCTTTATCCCCAAAGCAAGTGCATCCCTTTCTCCATACATTACTCTGCTGCTTTAGGTATGGCATTTTTAATTCTTTTTTTCTGTGACTCTCTGGAGCTCATGAAGCAGTACACTGGTACACAAGATATCCTGCAATCTTACTTTAGGTGAACTTTCAAAGAAAGCCTTATATGCCATGTACAGGAACAGAAAAGGCCCCAATACCATTTTGATGTTCTTGTATTTTAGCTCAAAAAGAATCAAAAAGTATCTTTATGCACAGGGGCACACCAAGTATTAGTCCTGGCTCCACTGGAAGGAGGCATTGTCATCCTGCTGGAGACTCTGAAACTGCTGGTCCTGCAGTTTCCAGCCAGTGACCTGAAAACTGTGCTTCTACAAAAAGACACCATTGTGATACAAACATGTCCATGGTCTCCATTTTCTTGGCACATTGCCTAGGACATCAATGATTTGTCTTAATATGAGGGGTGGTGACTACCACTGCTTGCCAGTGAGGCCAGCAATTCTGCTCCCTGCAGCACACACAGCCCTTGTCCCTGCAGCCACAGCCTGGGAGGGGGCTCCACTGCAGCCCCAAGGGCACTGAAGAGAGAATTGTCACACTTCCTTGGATGCCTGTCCCATTTGCTGCGGCAGGAGAGGGCTGCTTTAGCTAAATTCAGGGTGATTCTTGGTCAATTGGCAGAAGGGGGCAGGACCAGAGCTTGCCTTGCCAAGATCTGCACATCTCCACCTCCAGTGGAGGTCTGGATGTCTCCAGAGGGCAGACACTGAGACCATCCTCTTGCAGACCTGCACCTCAAGTTCAGCCGTCTTTGGGAAGAAGAGCGTGTATCCCCAGCCACCTCCTCTAGCCTGCCGTCCTTTCCAGCACAAAAGCACCTTCCACAGGAGCACACAGGCACAGTGACAAGCCAGGCCAGACAATTGCACCTACAAAGCCTCTCAGATATCTCCTGAGCCATAAAAGCTGATTTGTTTGTTCTGTTCAGCTCACCTCTGTTACAATACACACTGAAAAGGCTTGGGGGAAAAGCTTCAACCTGGAATACTTTCCTCTTTCCCATGCATTGTGGCCAACCACTGGGCTGTATTTGCAGTTTTCTCTGCCATCATCTCGGATCCTGTTCTGGCAAACACACGTGTCCCACAGCACCACACAAATGTGAGCAATGACGTGACTGACATCTCTCACCTGGGGCTATTGCCACCTGGTCAGCCACCACTTGGTATTTCTTGTTTGTAGACATGGGTATAGAGTTTGATGGCTTCTTCAAACTACCCCCTAATTGCAATTTCTTTATCTCCACTCTTAAGAAGTGCTGTTCTCTCTGAACTTCAGCAGATCAAAACCAAGCTAATTGAAACTTCAAATACAAGAAGGACTCCATGAATACAATGCAGAAATGAGATCATTTTAGATAGAAAAATGGGAAAAGATAAGCCATTTTAAAAGTAGCTCCTAAAAACAGAAAAAAAAAATTAAAAATAACCTAAGGGTGAAAGAAATCTGGTAGTGCTCTGCAATGATGTGTGCCACCAGTGCCGTACTACACCACATGAACCCTGTATATTAACTGATACTTTCTCTTCACTAAAGGAGGGAAATTTCCTCTGAAATCAGTTTACAGTTTGCTAAGGCCACATTTTTCCAGCCAAGATGCAAACCCCAGTGACTAAGAAATACAGAATGGAAAATTCTAGCTGCTCAGGACAAAACCCCTACCGTCACCAAAAACCCAAGTAACTTGTAATAGCTGACACACACAGTGCTGCAGCCAAGACTGTAACTCGCTGAAACACTGACAGAACAGACCAAAGATAAAACACTTTTCAGGCTATTCATTTGAAAAGAGGAGAAAAAGAATTTCCAAATTAATTCATATTTTAAAGATTTTACAGCTCATTGAATTAATAAAAAAATGAATACAGAGAACTATGGTTATAAATCTGAGTATAGTTTTAATGTGAACTCTGATACCAACATCCAGACACCAAATGTAGCAAGACTGGGTTGACATCAGAAAATGTAATTTCATACTGGCTTCTACAAACACTGTGCTCAGAAATATTTACAAATGGACAAAGATAAAATATGACAAAACTGTTGCTTTAAATTTCTGAATGTTTTTCTTTCAGTTTCAAAAGGTGAAATGCTTTCACATAACAATGTTATCTTCTGATGGTTTGTAATAGTTTCAGGAAAATATCAACATTTATCTTTCTCAAAGTAAAAATATACTTTAACTACTGACTGTGGCTTATTCATGCCACCAAGCATCAGAAATTCTAGTGATGTAAGGAGGAATACACTGACTCCACCAGCAAGGTCACCATAACTGCTGAAAACAACGTGCTGTTAAAAAATACTTGTGACACACAGCACAGAGAAATATCCTCTTTGGCAAAGTGTGGCTGTAGGGCAGAAAGCTCTGGGAAAAGGACACTTCAGTCTTTGCTCTCCACCAGCTGCCAAAGCCAAGATTTGCTCATTCACCTTCAATAATGGCCCTTGGAAGAGTTCCACTGCCAGGCAAATACAACATCCTCTGCAACCCAATAACCAGGGGCTGGTGCCAGGGATCTCATTGCTGCTGTCCTCCCTCACCCAGCTCCTTCTCTCCCACCACAAGTTTGTAATTCATTACCTATTTTCCACTTTGTACACTGATTGTTGTTCCTGTGCTTATACATAAACTATGCCGCTTCAGCTGTTTAAAAAATAACAGATTGTCTCTTAAAAAAAAAAAAAAGGCCTTAAAATCTGAGAGTTTTGTCAGTGAGTCAATTTGTATCAGTCAGGCTACACTGCAAAATTAGGGAGTAGGAATAAATATGGGTGTATTTTACTTTGGCAAAGTAATCTGTAGTTAGTATAACTCTACTGTTCCAGTATATGGTTAAACCACAAACTAAACCATGGCAACACCATGTAAATATAGAAATGTCCCCATGAAATGAGCAATTGAAAGGCTCTCAGCAGTAATGGACTGAAGGAGGAAAACCTCAAACTTTTCATTTTAAAACAGGCAATGGAAAAATTCAGCTGTGTCGCTTCTTTAGTATCATGCTCTTTCTAGTACCATGGCTCAAGATACAATTTTGAAGAGCACTGGAGTTAACATTTTTACTGAAGTTTTCAGTGGGGAAAGTTTTAGGGGAAACAGTTAAAGCACATCCATAAAGCTTTCAGAGAAAAGCTTCACAAGTCCACTCAAGTGTCTACAAATCATGAATTCATTATGAAACAGTAACTCAGTGCTTAATGAGCGGACCACACAAATAATTCATAACAGAATGCAGCCTACTTGCTAAAAAAAAAAAAATCAGAAAAAAAATCTGGAACTTGTAATGTCACCAGCAGAAGTGAGAAACATTAATTATACAAAAAGCCTGTTTCAAAATGCTTATGTTTCAGGCCCCCAAGGACAGTGTTTATTTTTATCATCATCACAGTTACACTTGCCTGCATTGTTTATTTTTATGGGGATTTTGCCTAGCTAACAAACATCTGTTCCAATACTGACCAAAAAATGACACCTTTTCTCTACTGACACATCTAAGCACCATTATTTCAAATCACATGGCTACACAAAAGTGATCGAGGAAGCCTGAAATCCAGAGGCACAAGCATGTTTTCTCATTCTATACAAAGCTTACCTTCCCACTCCCCCCATGCTCACCAGCTATGAGGCAGTTTCCATCTCCAGCCTTCCCTTTACTAATCTTCCTTTCTAATGAGTAAGAGCAATGGGTATGCTGGAGTGACAAGAACAGGAAATCTCATGAAAACTGCATTTCTCAGCACACTGAAATACCTGTAAAGAAGGCTATGCACCTGAAACTTCCATTTTTTTCCCCCTTGAGGATATCAGTAGTGTAATAAAAATTTCTCAGATCATTTAATAAAAGGGACTTTCTCCAGAAGAGTCTCACATCACTTTTTTTCATTAGAAGCATTTTATTGTCCTCTTGCTTGAGACAAGCCATAGGAAGTTCACAGGCACAATCTACCTCCTTTTCATGTTACAAGAGTGGCATTTGCTGCAGAGACCACAGGCTCATCTACTTCACATCCTGTCTCTCACAGCAGCTGACAGCAGATGCCACAGCAGAGGAGCCTCAGAGTGGTGCAGCCACACACTGAGAGCTGCAGGATGAGCTCTACCAAGTTCTCCCAATGCACACACCAGTCTCTCTCCTGAGACACCAGTGGCATCAGCCCAAGCAGCCCTCAGTGGCCCCATCCCTCCTGCTGGGATGTCATCAAGTTGTTTTTGAATATGTGAACTTTTAATATCAATAACAACTTAAGGCAATATCTTTAACTGTTCATGAAAGAAATAACACCTCATTTCTTTGAGGTGTTTTTAATTTGACTTCCCCATACTGGTGAGTTAGCAGTCACTTTCCTAATGTCCCTTAGGATTCTCCAGAAGACTGCCTTGACCCCACCCAAAACATCTTTTTTGCCTGACAATCCCAGGCTATTTAAGCATTTGGAAAATATTTTACACCTTAAATAATTAATATTGCCTTTTTCTTTGCTTTCTTTATGGTCACATATCACAAGAGTGACAATGTAAACAGGGTTTTCAGGGTGAGTGCTGCAGTACTAACGGGCTGATGCTTCACCCCTGGATGGCCTAGGCATTAGCATGAGCACATGGAGACATCCACAGCCACATCCATGGAAACACAAGTGCTGGCACTATGTGTTAAAAGATCTTGCTCAACCCCTGCACCTATTTGACTTTAAAATCATAAAATTAAGAGTTCTAGATGCACTCAGGATTTTTTTCTTGTGCTTAAAAGCCATGAGGCATTACTCAGAAATCATTTATTTGCCCCTAAAAAATAACTACAACGAAACACTGTTGGTTGTATGAGCACAATAATTGAATTGATGAATTTATTTTGCAATGCTTTTAACAGAGAGGCAGGAAGCTGAACCTGCCTCAAGAAAACATGGAGCTACAAGTGTCAAACATTTCTGAGGGCAAGACAACAGATTATGATGTAGTTTTTCAGTGTTACTGTAACTTTGGCCCAAGAAACACTAAAGCACTTCCCTTCTCAACCTCTCATAAAGTCCAACTTCCATTCATTATGCTGAGTCTAAACTTGGAAGGCTGTCCTGACACTGCCATAAACTGTGCTGTGCACTGACTGGGCATGCATTTTACACAGGCAAGCCTGCACTCTCCTTTGCAAGCTCATTCCAGCACAAGGAGACAATGCTATCTGTAAGTTCATTAGCACAGCTGCAGCTACACCAGTGGCTGCTGCCAGCACAGCACTCTCTAGCACAAATCCTCCTTTATCACAGCCAAGATATGCTGTGAATAGCAAAGAGTTATAAAGTATTCCTCAGCTCAGAAGCTCCAGCACAATTAATAACCTAAAGAACGAAGCTGCTGGGCTCCAAATTGTTTGAATGCATCAACTTGAAGCATAGCTGGTACTCACTCACAGTCCAGAAGCTCTGGAATGCTGCAGTAACTCAGCAGTTGCACCACGACTGCCAGCACTGACCCACTCAGCTGAGGTGGTTAATGTAATACCCATGGGCTGGGATCATCACACACATCTGCACTCGGAGCCTCTCTGCTACTGCAAGGTCTAGAGTCCATCGTGCTACGTACAAGGCTCAGCCACAGCCAAGCCAGACCTTGTCCAAAGATCATTCAGTCAAATGACAGGACAAGACGTGGGAGAACAAAGTACTATTGCACCCATTTTTCATACACAGTCTTCAAAATCCTACTTTTTCTCAAGAGCCAGAAATATGTAATATAAGAATTTAAAATAGTGGTTTTGGAGCTAGCTCCCTTGGGAGATTTCAAGGATAACAGACTATTTTCAGGATTAACTACATTGACAGAAATCTTCTGTAAACTTTTCTGTTAAATTAAATGGGCTCATGGTCATGGCAGAAACCCCAGGAGAGGAAAGGCTTCCCTTACCCTACTGAACAGTATTGTTCAGGTACGACACCTTGACATCTGTTAGCAGCTTCCCATGAAATGGAATTTACGGCTGATTCAGGGGCACAATTGAAACAAACACTTGCAACAGTTTCAAATGTTTCCTCCCCTTACAGTTCCATCCCTGAGTGGAAAGCTATCACTGCAGGAGTGGCCAAAAGATACATATCTTCAGCCACACCACATCAGTTAGGGGGATTAGATCAAACAAGAAACAACAGATAGCACTAACACACAATAGTCTGAACTATTCCATACACACATGATAAAGTGTGCTTGAAATAGTCTTGGCACTGGATAACAAGATTTTGCAAAAATGTAAAGAACTTTCATTAACAAGACGATCATTCAACCTACCTGCAGACAATATGGTTTTTAAAGATTCATGTTATCAGAACTTACTCTTTCAGCCCAGTTACCCCTTGATTCTGCAGTGGTATTTTAACCTAACCCTTATCACAGTAAGGGCAAGGTCATGAATTCAGCACTACACTGGCTAACACTAAATTAAAGAAATCAAAAGAAAAAAAAAACCTTAAGAAATACTTGACTTTGAACTGAAGGAACCTGGGTAAATAGGCAACTCCCTGCATTTATTCTTAAAATAGATGTAGGGAGTGTAACTGGATTACATCAGACACTAGAGCCTGTTTTATAAAAGGAGCTCTTCATAAATCTACAATTCCTCTCCAATCCTACCATAACTTCAAAATAAAAAGTTGACTGCACTGAATGACTCCTTTAGGAAGAAGTGTTTCACCAGGCCTTTCCTGAGCCATGAGCAGGGCTGGCTGGTGTTCTTTTCCCTTAAATATATGCTCATAAACTCTGGTTTATGAGGATAAGCCCTTCTGGTCCCTCACAGATCAGTGTCCAGGAGGCAGTGATTTCCACCTCTCCAGAGCCACCTTTCACACCAAGGGAGCAACTCAGGCATGGGACAGGAATTGAAAACTTGACAAGTTCCTCATACAAGATCTTTGAGGACTTCATATACAGCCATCAAACCCTGTCTATCCTGCTAACCCTACTACTGTCCTCAGCCTAAATCCATGTGGATTTGCCACACAGACTTTTATTTTCCAGATCTTCCCGATCTGCCTGTTTATATGAGCATGTTGTTTTCTCACCAGGCCTTCTGCCCTGCCAGAGAGCACTGTCATCTTCCTCCAAAGATCCTTCTTGTCAATTCTAACAGAGCAATTTTAAGCAGTTTTCAAGATTTAAATTTTTTGAACCAAAGCAGACAGCTATCTGTAGTTACTTAGCATTTGTCCATACAAGAAGAATAAGTTCCAGATAGTGGGTTGGATTTTTTATAATTTTCTCTCAACAGTAAATTATTTCACCCTATCATTACAAGTGTCTCAATTATGAGATGAAGAATAAGTTCCAGATAGTGGGTTGGATTTTTTATAATTTTCTCTCAACAGTAAATTTTTTACTCTATCATTACAAGTGTCTCAATTATGAGACACAATAAGTGTATGTGAGAGGTTAACATCTCACAACAAAGACTGCACAAGCAATATAAGCACTAGGGCAGCCAGCTTGACTCAGTGAAGGCAGATTTCACCTCACACACCCTCAGCCATACAAAAGAAAAACGTTTAAACTGGGCACACAGTTCAAAATCCTCCTTGGAGGTAGAGAGATTCTAAGGAGTCCTGCACTCACTACATAATGAAACAGAAAAATAACATCTTGATCCATGTACTTCCATAGAAAAACCCAAAGGCAGTGCTAGGCAAGGTATCCAAGTTCAGGGCAGGTAAAACAATACCTGTCAACAAAATGAATTACATCCATGATGATGAAATAAAGGGCTCTGATAATCTGGAGACTCTATGCTCTCACAGCTCAAGTACTAGGGAGATAGCATTAGTATTTAAGCACTAAATCAAGAGAATGGCACCTTGAATCCCTGAACTGATAAAGAGGCAGAACAGAAATTAGAGGAGCAGTCTTATTGTAAATAGCGACCAAACAAGTAAATTTCATCAAGCTTCCCATACAGTTAGGAACTCAAAAAAAAAAAAAAAAAAAGGCCAAACCAAACACAAAACCCAAATCAACAAAACTGGTTATATTCTGCATTTAGCAGGACTTATTTCTGAGAAAGTAACCTAGTGTTCTCAAAGAGAACAGCACTTTCCAGCCTCACTATCTGGAAGAGGAAAGATATTTTCTCTCCCCAATTAGTAAAGCCAGTAAGAGGGGTTGAACTTTTTTCCAAATTGACTAGAAAAAATTTACTTCCAATTCTACATTTTCTTGCTCCAAGTAGCTTTCCACCCTCCTGTTCCATGTTCTGCATGCACCATTCACATACATCTAGCATACTTGGGCACAAGGTGGCTTAAAATCAGCACCTCTGAAACAGTGATAACACTGTCGTCCATCCAGGTGGATGGACAGATGGATGGATGGACAGATGGATGGCCATTCTTATAACGGGAAACGTGGGTGAGTTTCCAGCTGCTGTGGAAAGCACATTTGGGCTCGCTCACTCTGTCCAGCTGATGCTGATTACCGGGACACAGCGGACAGCCCCTGCGAACCTGAGGGACATCTTTCACTGCAGATGCCGGGACGTCCCGGTGTCCCGACCTTCTCCCAGGGACAGCTCTTTAGGCTCCGCTCCAGCAGCTCTCCCCTCCGTTCAACACCAGCGAGTAAAACCAGCGGGACCAGACTGTGCATCCCTGCACTTCCAACGCAGAACGCGAACAGAAGGCACTGCTTTTACAGAAACAATCCCTGCCTGGCTCAAAGAGGGCGATGTGCTGCTTTAGCACCCGCTCTGGAGCGCCGCTCCCGCCGCCCCCCGCCCCCGGGACCGGCACAGCGGGCACGGACGGACCGACGGACACTCACTCTCGGAGTCGCTGAGGCCGCTGCCGTCGCTGACGCTGGCGCTGCTCCGCCGCTTCATGCGCTCCAGGTGCTCGCCGTAGAAGAAGCGGCGCCGGCCGGCGGGGCAGGAGAACTCGGCCAGCACCGCGTCGAACTCGCCCAGCGCCTCGGCCAGGCCCTCGCCGTCCTCCCCGGGCGCTGCCGGGCGGCGGCAGCGGCGTCAGGACCGGACCGGACCGACCCTGACCCCGCCCGCCCCCACCCCGGCGGAGGGAAAGGGAGGGAAGAGAAGGGGGAGAAGGAAGAGAAGGGGGAGAAGGAGGAGAAGGAAGAGAAGGGGGTCCCGCCCGCCCCCCAGCCCGCCGCTCCCACCTTGCCCCGCCGGGCTCTGCGCTGCCGGAGACTTCATGGCGGCGGCGGGCGGAGATGCCCCAGCCCCGCCGCTGCCGCCTCCGCCGCCAGCCTGAGCTCCGGGCCCCGCCGCTGCCCCTCTTATAGCGGGGCCGGGCCGGGGCGGGGCGGGCCGGGGGCGGCCCGGGCGGTGCAGGTGCTCCGGGCCGGCTGTCCCGCCAGCCGCAGTCCCGGAGCAGCGCCACCGGCAGCGGGAAGTGTCTCCTGTCGCCGCCCGGCCGGCACCGGGAGCGCGGCTCCTTCGGGAGCGCGGCTCCTTCGGGAGGATCGCTGCGCTAAGCCCAGCAGCGGCTGCGTGCCGGGCTGCTGGAGGGAGGATGCAGCGGGAATCAGAGCCGGCTGGAGGGAGGGAAGGCAGCTCGGGGTCAGCCTTACCCAGCCCCGTGACTGCCAGCAGGACAGGGCACACAGCAGTGCTGCTCGAACAGCCCCGGGATCCCTTCCTTCCCCATCCCCACGGCACTGTGCTGGCATCTGCCTGTGGTTATTGCCCTGCTCCGTACATGGGTGAGCTGCGGGCACGGCCGTGGGGGGCAGCTGGGCCAGTTAATTCCAGAGGATGAAGAGCAGGTGGCAGGGGACATGCAGGGAATGCTCAGGCAGAGGGAGTCGCAGCCCCAGGTGCGTCAGCCAGGGTGCTCTCCAGTGGAGTGCTCTCCTTGTTCTTAGGAGGAGGATTCTGGCACCTGTCCTGAAGTCGGGTAAACCTGATGCTCATACATGCCATAGCTACGGAGTGTTGTTCTTGTGCTGTCTCTTGCTCGTTTTTAACGTAAGCTGTCTGAGCAGCTAAAGACTCTGTCATGTTTAGTTATGGCCACAAATACTGAAAGCAGACATCAGGTGTTATTCCACGAGAATGCGTCAGGAGTTATGATTATGTTTGTGTGCTGATGAAAATATTTAAAATTAGAAGAGTCAGGGAGAGGTAAGAAAAAACATCTCTGAAACTTTTTGACATTTTCAGACATGCGGCACTTGCTCCTGCAAGACACAATGTTAGAAAAACAATGTTCTAGACAATAAAACAGATTTGTCCACCTTTCCTTACCGGCTGATATGGAGACATTTATTTATTTTTGCAGTGAATCAAAAGAAGTTCTCATGACGAAGTTGAATTGTTGTTTATTTTGTGGCTTCCTCCTCTCTGTGGTCTTCCTCTGTGTTTCTTTCTGCTAATAAAAGTGTCTACAAACAATCCTTTTTAAAGACCATAGTGACACAGAGGGAAAATGAGGTTAAAAAGTGGGGGACAAGCAGATACAAGGGCATGACGTCAATAGCACGAGCAGGATGAAAGACAATGGATGCAAGGCAGAAGGGGGAACTGTCGAGGACGTGACTAGGCACAGCTCACAGCCCAAAAAGACAAGGACCTGGCCCTGCAGCTGATGTCAAATCTCTCTTGCTCTATCACATATGATCAACCCTGCCTGTACCACACACATCCCCACCGAGCACTGGTGCTTGGTCTATGGCACAACCTGGCTTAGGGACAAAAGGTGTTTGAGGTTAGGCTTGAATGTGTCCATTTTCTGAGGAACACAGGCAAAACAACCAAAGGCTAGAAGTCCTCCTGTGCCCTTCCTGTTGTTTCTCATAAAGATGGTCAAGCAACTTCACAGCCTTTTGGGATGGGAACTGAGGTCATGTCACAAAGAAAGAGCACGAAGGGGGGTGAAGCTGTACAAGAACCCTTGCACTGCTTGGGGCCTTATTGCCAGAAAATGGGAATGACCTGCCTCCTTCTTTCTTCTTGTGCTCCTGGCCTAGACCTTCTGCATGTCTTTTAAGCAGGTTTTTCTCACCGCTGCTGAGCCAATTCAACACTTTAGAACAGCAGAAAACTAATCCAGGAAGAAAGTGAGTAATTTTCTGTTGAATTGAGTTGAATGGGCTCAGCTCAGGGAGATAAAAGGAGGGTATGGATAGGTAGGGGAAAAAAGCCAACTGCTTCCCTGTGGTGATATAAGAATTTATCCCTGGCATTCTCCTTAAATTATTATCTTTCACTTAAATTGACCATTTTCAGAATAATTTCTAGGCATGCTAAAGAAATTATTCTATAAACTTCCCTTCGTTACAGCCATGTGTTTGGGAAATCTTTTTCTTAAGACAACCTGGGCTTAAAATTACTTAGCTGTGTTTTACTGCTCCACAGACTAATCTCTTAATATTTCTTTCAGTAAATACTCATGTTTTCTCCTAAGCAGCCTAGATTCTGCTGAATGCACCCGAGACAGCTGGTGAATTTCAGTTTTCCACATAAACCATTAGCTTATACATGAGGAAACAAAGATTCACTTTTATGCTTATTGGTTCTATGTCATGGACTATGTAGCCATGCACATCCATAAATATTCTTGAAAAGCTCCAGCTGAACTGGCTGCTCTTTTGCCACAGATGCCAACAGGAGCAGCCCACATCTGGCAAAAGGAAGAAGTCACTTTTAAGTGCAGTGCCCTGAAACTCTGCAGGCTGACACGCCTGGCTGCTCGTGCTTATGGGGAGAAACATCCAACACAACTCCTAATGTAAACCTCAGCTACTGAATCCCTCTCATTTTCTAGGCAGCCGTCCAAGTTGTATTTAAAGTGAATTTCTTCTTGCCCATTCGACACAGTGTCTCCAGATCCTCCTCAGCTTGTGACGCGATGTTTACAGTGGTTTCCTACTGCATTTTTAACCTCACAAACTTGTGAGCCACACAGCTATTTAAATCAACAAATCCTGCCTGGAAACATGCTTCAGGGAAAGGCTTTTAAAACAGGCTCTTTGATATAGTCAAGCTGCAAAGCTCATGAAGTATTAGTTTTCTAAACAAACCATGGAATAATTTGGGACACAACACACTGTGTTGCTGCCCCGAAGAGACTCCTAGAATGGGTTTTAAAAGGCATTGATGCTGCAGGTTGAATAATCTAATTGCTTCCAAAGCAATGAGATGCCCACAGATCCATGAACTACTTCTGAGGCATTCACATAAAACAGGAAAAAAACCCCCAAAACAGAATGAGAAATTCATCGGAAACTGGTTACAATTCACAGTACAGGTGCAGCACCATATGCACATACACAGAAACTGGAACTGCAGAAGGGGGAATTTGCAAATCTGAAGTGGCTGAAAAGTTTTTGTCTAATGAATCATTTCTTTTCAGCACTTTGAAGATCAAGAATAACCCAAAATATAAATTTTGTTGAGTAATACCATACTCCCACAGCTAAAAACAAATGTTTTGTGAAACCTTCACCTGTCTTCTCATTGGTATTGATACTAGACAAAAGCCAGAGTGCCAGATCCCTGCCCATGGAAGCAGCCTGGAGTTTTGAATATTTAATTTCCACAAGTCTTTTAATATTTATTAGTCTGTGAAAATAACAATTCTTTACATAAATAATAATAGCACCTTGTTAAAGTAGATAATTTAAAACCTGTGAATGACAAACAACAGCCCATCATTTCCAAACTTCTAGCTGAAGGAAGCAAGGGAACCCAAAATGAAGACAGCTGTCAAACAGAGAAACGAAAACTGCCAGAGGATGAAACAGCACAGGTGCCAGTCAGACTGACACCCAGGGAAACCCAACTCCTTGGGCTGCAGAGCAGGAATAGATCAAACATCACCAGCATAACCTGTCTCCCTGTGCAGCACATCACAACCCTGCCCTCAGGATGCTCATTTGAGGGGAGGCAGTGGTTGACACTCCAGCCTATTTTATCCTTCACGCTGCAAGTGAAATTGCCTATGTGAGTTAATTGCTAAACTTGTTTTGTAATGAGGAGAGCTGCCTGATTAAACCCTGTCAGAGACATGAGCCATGCATTTTACACAGGCTGCCTAACTACCATCCAAGATGTTTTGCTACTTTGGCTGCCAACTGGGTTAAATAAAAACCTATGACCTGTAGCTCAATCCACACCACCAGTGGGAAGAGCGAGTGACTTACAGCAATATATTCATCTTGAAAGATTGTCAAACAAAAAATTTGCCACAGATCTTTCACAGGACTTTACTTCCTCTTCTCCCAACATGTTCTGTAGACCTTGAACTGGAACCTGGAATTTTGAGTGACTGGTGCATTTCCTTTTGGTTTTCTCTCTGCCCTTGACTGATGCACAGTGGATGCAAACTCATGGACCTGCTCACAGCCATTCACAGCTGTGGCCCTGTGAGCAAACCATACACCTTCCTGCTGAAGTCTGCCAAAATCTAAGCTCACTTTCTCTGGCTCACTATCCTTCTAAACTTTCTGCTTGTCAAATTAACCTCCTGAATGTCAACACAATACTGTCTTTCAGTAACTAGAGGCAGAATCTCTTGGAGTTTTTGAATGGATGTCTTTAAATAAGTTAATGACACCGAAACATATTTATGGCAGTTTGGATTTAATCACTACTGTCATAAAAGTAATTTAAACTGATAAAGTATATTTGTAACCTATATTAACATCACTGGCATATGGAGTTGAATGTTGAGCTTCTGTCCACGGTAAAGAGAGATGCAAAACCACTCAAGACTTTGAATGTTCTGGGTCAAGGGACTTTGGCTGAGCACTGCATGGGAAAGGGAGAGAAGTTCAGGTAAGGAGAAGGATGGTAGTGAGTAAATAAGACATGAAGAAGTCTGTAGTCTTTTTCCTGCAGTGCAAAGGAGCCAGCAGACAACAAGCAGAGAGAAGTGGACAAAAAGCCAAAAAAATGTAAGCAAAGGGACCACGGCAGTAAGCCAGGAGGGGGAGAGAGCCTGGCATTTGGAGTGCTGTGTGGCAACTAGAAGTGAAGAAATTGCCTGCATTCTGGCTCTGTTTTCAGGAAAACAAGGCTGTGCACATATCCTTTGCATGAGGAGGTTAAACATGAGACTCTGCACAAGGCCGAGTGGAGGAAACGGTTTGTTTTGTTCTTCTTCCATTAAGTACTCCCTCATCCAAAAGGGTTCAGTAGCAGTAAATATCCATTTTAAAGGGTAATGTGGAAGGGAAAAAAAAAAAAGGAAGAAGCATACTTACAAATGCTAGGTAAGAAATTTATTTCCTGTGTTAGGTTGTGGGCTCAAGCTCAGGGCAAACCACTTTCTCTACCTCTACCTGATGCTGCTGCCACCATACCATATATAAGGATCAG